AGGAAGGAAGGAAGGAAGGAAGGAAGGAAGGAAGGAAGGAAGGAAGGAAGGAAGGAAGGAAGGAAGGAAGGAAGGAAGTATGAGCCTTATGCCCCATTGTTTCTTCCTCTATCCAGGTGATCAGGATTTAGTAGCGATCCTTCTTTGCAACCATCTCGCTCTCGTTGGCTTGGCTCTCTTCACTCCCCCCAGATGGACATCCTCCTTTTCTGCCGATGGGCCTCATCTTACTTTTCTTTTGCACACTTATGGCATTCAATAGTTGTATAATTTTTGTTATTCTTAACTTCACCTTTATTAAATGTCATGGTTTGCACCCTTTCTTGTGGCACGGTCTCCTTTCATTTTTTATGATACTGAGTCGAAAAAGAAGGAAGGGAGGACATATAAACAACAACAGAGAATAAAGTCAGAAAATATGGATATATTCTCAAAATCTTGTTTTTTATTCATACCTGTTTGGTACTCAAAAAATATTATAATCATATTTATATCATGTGGTATAATTTACATGATCCCTGTGAGTTATAGAAATAAATTAATGTCTCTTTTGATTACCATTTGTAAAACATTAGATGAGTGTTAATTTTCTCCCATCCGACTTTAACACAACCGCATTAACACTAACAGGCTCAAAAAAAGCTTGACTTAAAGGAGTCTACAGAAGCAGACGGCATTATTACATAAGCTTTAGTCTAGTGGCATCTTTCACCAATTTAGGTTTAAAAATTGCTAAATGACCACTAGCTAGATTCAGGATGTTTAGCTATTTTTTTTTTTTATCTAGAATAATTATATTAATATGTTTAACTATAGTTGGTTAGTGAAGTATTGGATTACAAGTAAAAAAGATAAAGGAACTTTATGTTTAAAACTTACTTTTAATTGAATAAAATACAGGCTAAAGTGAGAAAGACTCACAGACAGAAGTGCAAATACACAGGAGAGCGCTGGGCTTTAGCGGCGAGAGAACACATGTCACTACAGCCCAAGAGGGACAGTATGTAAAGGCAGGAGACAGCTACACCTGTCACAGCGCCCGCCTGGGGACAGACATACACAGCGCGCCCTGAGCGTGTGTGTGTGTGGACAAGGATGTCACTGGAAGCATGTCCACTTTACGGCAACAAAACAAGAGGCAGCGCAGGGAGTTGCACCAAGCTGAGCTCAAAGGATTTAACATCAAGTGGGTCGGCTCCAGCGAGTTATCCGGCTGGTGGCCAGATATCTACAGCTGGCTAATGAGGCCGGACATCTGAGCAGAAAAGGCCTCGTGACAAATAATTAGGATTCTCCACTTATTTTAGTGCCCTTCATTTACAGATAAGTGACAAATAATTAGCTGCCTGATAATAAGCTCACCTTTGAGTTGACAGTGATAAGTGGAAGCGTGTGTTTGTGTCCGTTTTCCAGTGGCAGTAATGACAGCTAAATTATTGAAATATGAAAGGCCTTTCAATGGAGAACAAAAAGCCCAATAAATGGTTTTATTTCCAGAAGACAATTTACTTGCAAATGTGCAGCATGTGTTTGTGGCACTTGCGATTATGAGAGGCACAAGCGGCCAAGGGAATAGGATAAATGAAAGGGGGGAGGGGGAAGCTCTTTAATGTAAATTCAATCTAATATGGAGTTTACTTCAACCCCTTGTTAGAGGGAACAAACAATTACTGTACACAAATACATTTCCTGACAGTCTGCTGCACTGCCTGTACTCCAGTTATTGTTGGCGGTCTGCCAACGATAAAACCCCACCTACCTTTGGGCGTGGCCTGGCAGGCTTTGGTACCGTTGTTGTTAGTGTTTCGATTGGCCGTGTTCAGCACGTTCTTGTTTGGACGTGCGTTCTTCTTACTGGACACAGGGGTCCGGGGTGGAGGCAGCGCAAACGCTTCAACTCCTTTCTCTTCAGCGACGTTCTCCTTGTTCTCACTGGTTCGTCCCTGATGCCCCTCCCTCTTCTCACTGCGTTGTGGAGTCGCCGTCCTTCCTGCTGCCAAGCCGTGGACTTCTCTATTTTCCACTAGCGGGGATACGAGTTTCTTCAGAAGCACAAATAAAAATGTTTGATTAAAACATATGTATTAGGTTGAAAGAGTCACATTGTTACACATTCCATAACTGCGAAAATGTCCCATGGCGTCAGAAACATTTTAACACTCCAAGCTGGAGACCAACTATTACACGTTTTTCAAGACCGATGTCGATACAGATTATTCTGATATCAGTTTTTTTTTTAGTGCTCCATTTACGTGGAAAAAATTACAATTTTTAAAAATGAAAGAAATACTTATTATGAAATTCAATTTAAAAAATGGATTGCAAATGGAGGGTACAACAATTTATATGCTTTACATAATCTCAAACTTGGCTCCTGATTCCACGAATAATCAGCAAATGCATGCATACAGAAACAAATAAAAGGAAAACAGTGGCTATATATATATCTAATAACTCTAATAGAGACCCTAGAGATCTAAATACTGTTCTGTGGAAAAGTAGGAACGAAGAAAAATAAAGATCAATTTAAAAAAGTTATGGTTAAGGTTATAGTGGAGGTTTCTTCCTGTTAAAGGTGAGTTTTTCCCTCTACACTGTCGTACAAGCATGCTTGGTGTGAGGGATGGTCTTCGAGTCGATGCAATCAACTGGTTTTCCTTATAGCCCTTGTCACACTGTGGTGATTTAGCCAGCGTATACCCGACATCCCAGAATCTCCTAAAACGCTGGCATACGCTGAACTTTCTATCTATTTCTTCAATTTTGGGTGTATACATAGCATATCTATAACGATTCCAGTACATATCTCCAATGACAACCTAACACATGCATAAAGCAGGGGGGCAGCAATTCAGTTGGAGGTGCCCGGCTTGCATAAAAAGATGTCTTAGCTAGCTGCTGTTTACCGCCCGCCAAAAAAAAAAAAAATGAAAAGAAAAAAAGAAAGGTTTTCAGTTGCAGCAGATTCAGCGTCATGTCTGCTAGGAAGTTTGTTGACGTGGGCATAAACGCAGAGAGGATTATTTCAATAATCAAAGCATCATCATTAATTTGATTTATTGTTTCGGCTCTATTAAGTATATATTAATAATAATAATAATTTCCCTGACAAGACTTAGTCTTTTATTAGATGTCATTTGTTAATCAAATGAAACAGGTCTGCCATGCCTTCCTAATTAATGCAAAGTTTTAGCATTGCTGTTGGAGTGCCTCCTGCCACAGAAGGACATTTCACCTCGGGACAAAATGCTAACAAGCCTCCAAGACTGATTGACAAGTGGCGTCACATCAGTTGTTTGTGATTTGGGTCAACAAAAATTTTTCACAAACACCCTACAGCACTTCCAAAACACATTGGGGGCCACAAAACCCTCACTGACAACCACTAAATGAATTAATCAGGACCTCATTGTGTCTCTATTCTGTGTCTCTACATGTAAAGAAAACTAGAAGGTATCTCGTACCATATCTTTGTTTCCATCTTGCAGAGTTTTGCCAGCCTGTGGTGTGTGCTGTTGGACTGACACCCATGGACAATCATCAATATAGTCTGAGCACAGGTCCAAAGATCCAATAATGACTGCATCCTCATCTTCACTGTAATAAAGAGTTTCTCTTTTCTGAAAGTAGAAAAAACATTAAGTAGATAAAAGCTGTTCTTGTTTTTCAAAATATCCCGTTGTCAGAGTACAGCAGGTAGATCCTGGGTGTTACCTGTAGTCCCTGATGCAGAGGAGAGTCCAAGCAGAGGGCCGACTCACGGTTTAGGCGAACAGGCTTTCCCTTCTGCTTCTTTGACAGCAGCAGCAGGTAAGTGGCTGTGATCTGATCATATTTCCACTGTAGGAGGCAAGGCAAGTTTATTTGAATAGCACCTTTCAGTAAAGAAAAGACAATTTAAATAGAAGAAAAACAAAAGCTGAATAAAATAAATTAAGATAAAACATGATAAAAGCAGGTGGTAAAGCCAAAACCTTAAACTAGTAGTACCTCAGTTAACAATTTAACTTTAAAAGGCAGCTCTAAACAAATTTGGTTTTAACTTTGACTTCAAAGCATTTTTACAGTCTTCTAGGAGTTTGTTCCAGATAAGTGAAGCATAGGAAATAAATGCTGCTTCTCCATGTTTGGTTCTAGTTCTGGGTGTACAGAGTAGGCTTGAACTAGAAGACCTGAGTGGTCTGACTAAAAATCCGTGATGTATTGAGGTGCTGATCCATTCAGTGATTTATAGACAGAATGGCTTTAAAGTAAATTATCTGAGCTACAAGGAGCCATGAGACTATGGAGAGACTGTTGCAGTAATCAATTCTACTAAAGATAAATGCATATCTGAGCTTTTCTAGTTCCTGCTTGGACATTAGTCCTTTAATCCTGGAAGTGTTCTTCAGGTTATAAAAAGCTGACTTGGTAACTGCCTTTATGTGCCTATGAAGGTTCAGGTCCATCATGAAACCAAGATTTCGACCATAATCGGTGGTTTTTAGCTGTAGTATCTGAAGTTGTGATCTAACTCTGAATCTCTCCTCCTTTCGAGGGAAAATTGTTTTGTTTTTGATTAAGTAGGCAGAAAATCATGTCTCATCCTCATATTGATCTGTTCTAAGCATCAAAGTCACTTGGTGTGTCGTCTGCATAGTTATAGTAACCAATCTTGTTGTTTGCAATAATTTGAGCCAGGGGGAACATGTAGATATTTAATGGGAGGAAATAGTAAAAATCTATTAAATCAGCAGATCATCGTCACAAACATAAACCAGACAAAAAAAATAAATAATTAGGCTTGGACATAAAAATAGCAGAACACACACACCTCTTTCACCAGTGCTGTGGTGCTCTCTCTTGACCGCTTCATGTTGACTGCCATCTCAGTGATACAATCTTCATCTATGTAGTCGATCTATAAAAGAAAAAAAAAAGAAAACAACTAAAATGAAAACGAGGTGAAGACATTTAATCTACATGTCCAGGTAAAAACTTGTTTCTTAAAGCAGTTCTAAAGAAGTTTCAGTTTTGATCAATTTTAGATCGCTGGTGGAAAAAAGCGGTACTGTTTTGCTTGAAGAAAGAAAGCATTCCCCATGAGGAGCAGCACATTGCGTGGTAAAGAACATAAAGCGGTAAAATCCTGATCTCTCAGTCCCCTGCAGTTGGATTGAACCACATTTCTGCTTCCAGTAGCTGTGAGAGATGAACAGTGATGAGGTAATGAATCTAATTGTGGCGAAATAATGTCATATGACCAAGTTAAAAATAAGAAACAGTTCATTTAACTTTTATACTGTATTCCTGCAACGCTGCCCCCCTCATCTGACTCATCAACACTTCATGTGCTCATACAGTCTCTTAGTCACATCGACTTCTGTCTTTATAACAAATCAGGAAAGGGAGACATGAAGTATGCCATAAATTTGCGTATAATTACAAAGGTTATGAAAATATTTTATGACGGTTGGAAAGTATTGGTTTAAAGTAATGGCAGAATTCAAACTAAACTACTTTATTTAAAACCTAAATCATTACTTTCAAGTGCTATGCTTATAATAGAAATTTTCTCTTAGATATCTGCCTTTTGGGTGAGTTTACCGGCTGCCTGCTGCGCCACTCTACAGGGCTGTTGTAGTCCTTTATCACCCAGGGATGGTCCAACAGCTGTCTGACTGTCAGGCGGCGCTTGGGGTCCACCTAGTGGGCAAACATTGAAACAACAACTTAGAAGAGGACAAAAAAAACACCCAACATCCAAAACCTGGATGATTTCATCCTCATCCTACAACCAATTTTATTCATGTTATTGTGATTTTATGGGGCAGAAAATAATATGAAGGGGAAGGGAAATTATTATTTATAAATATTTTATAAACTTTTCACAAAAACCTGAAAAGTGTGGACTGAATCTGTATTTAGCTCCAAAATGAAAAGATTTTGCTGGACTATTATGCTAATCGACTTTGAGTATCGTGTATTTTAGGGTTTTTGCCTACCTGCTTCACATCTTTAAACGCTTTTTTTTTTTTAAGAAAAGGAAAAAAAACAAGCACTGGGCTACATAAAGATAGGATTAACAAGGTCTAGATTCCCTATTAAATTGCATTTAAGCTGGTAATTTAACCATGATTTGGCACTTTGGCACATCGTCTGTAAAGGTGTTAAACCTCAGTCCATCAAGGATTTGTGTCCTATAAGTTTTAGATGTTTTTCTGCTTCAACACAACCTGAATAATGTTTTCACTGGCAAGGCTAATGAACTTTACTATATACAGTGAGGAAAATAAGTATTTGAACACCCTGCTTTTTTGCAAGTCTGAAATTGTCCACCGTGAGAGACATAATCTACAAAAAAAAAAAAAAAATCACAATTTATGATTTTTTTAACTATTTAATTGTATGATACAGCTAAAAAGAAGTATTAGACCACCTTTCAATTGGCTAGAATTCAGACCCTCAAATACCTGTTAGTCTGCCTTCAAATGTATTGCGAGATTTTGGGGAAACAACCTCCTTCCCTCAGTGAGAGCATTGAAGATGGGTCGAGGCTGAGTTTTCCAACATGACGATGACCCAAAGCAGACATCCAGTATAACGTAGGAGTGGCTCTGGAAGAACCATATCAAGGTTCTGGTGTGGCCTAGCCACTCTCTAACCCTAAACCCAATAGAGAGTCTTTGGAGGGAGCTCAAACGGCGTGTTTCTCAGCGAAAGCCCAGAAACCTGACTGAAGAAACGTTTGACCTCTGTATTTGCAAACAAAGCCTCCTGTACCAAATATTAACATTGATTTTCTCAGGTGTTCAAATACTTATCTATATATTATTTATTTTATCAAACAAAAAAATAGTTAAAAAAAATCAAACATTGTGATTTCTGGATTATTTTTTTAGATCATGTCTCACACAGTCGACATGCAGCTACGATGAAGATTTCAGACCCCTCCATGATTTCTAAATGGGAGAACTTGCAAAAAAGCAGGGTGTTCAAATACTTATTTTCCTCACTGTACATATGCTGCAATCCAGCCATTTGATAGATGTGTTAAACCAGGAACACATCCAAATAGCAGGACATCCACCCCAGAAGACAGGATTCACCCAGCTGTAAACCACACAACCGTTGCTCTGGTGGGAGGTTTACCATCTTTTCTTACTGAAATGTGAACCTGGGATTCTAGCAGACAAATTTCCCTGCTCCTTTCCTCCTCTGACAGCTTTTCTGTTAATACTGCTGACAAGCATCCCCACAGCATAAGGCTGCCAGTACTGTTACACCAAAGAGGTGATGCTTAGAGTTACATTAGTTTTCCTTTAGACACATAGTCATGAAAACAAAGGAAACATTTTTATTTTTTAATCCCATGAGCCCCTGCCTTCAGGATTGATGCCATCCCTATAGGTTTCAAACTACAAATTGACTCACTAAGACTTTCTTCCTATAACATCTTTCTTACCAACTCCGGATAAACAATTTTACCAAAAATCTAAATAATTGTGATTATTTTCAACCAATATGGGGTTTGTGATTTTATTTCGATTTTCTTTTGCACTAACCACAAGCATGTAGATGTTTCACTGTAGGGTTTCGGTTTTTAATTATCTTGAAAGCTTGCTTGTCTAAAGTCCATTTTCGCAGAACTTTATTGGAACCTTTGTTTGGAAAAGTGTTAACTTCTACTTGGATGCATAAATTAGAGTGCTAGCTAGATGTTTTCGTTTCCTTTTTTGAGGCAGAAAATCAACTTTAAACACATAACCACCACATAAAGTGCTGGAGTAAAAAAAAAAAACATTTGTCTCTTAGTCTTGTTAAATGTAACTTTACTAAAATTGAGTGCCTCTGCGATTTAAAAATTACGATTTCTTAAATTACAATTGCATTGCCCAGCCCTATTACTAACTTTCCCCAAAATCCAGCCTTTTGGAGAATATAAACACATTGTCCAACTTGAGCCCTGCAGCTCCTCCAGACATACTGTCTGCCTCCGAGTTGCTTCTCTAATTAATGCTCTTGATTCTGGCCCCTCAGATCAGGTGGATGGTTCTGTCTCTGCAGGTTTATGGTTGTTTCGTACCATCGACAGGATGGTGGGAAGAGTGCGCCATGAGACTTTCAAAGATCGGGTTATTCCTTAATGATCAAATTCCCTAACTGTTTTACAGAGCACCTGGATTTATACTGAGATTGTCTGAAAGCAAATTGCTTGCAACAAATTTTACTTGAGCATAAAAAGTATATTAAAATATATACAGTGAGGCGAGGTAACAAACTAGTCATTGGATTTCTTCATGAGACAGATAAAAGAAATGAGTCTGAATCTAAGTGTAGACGAGCAGCAGTAAATACCGACCTGCATCATTTGGTTGAGGAGGAGGATACTGCCTGGTGAGAGCCACTTTGGGTTATCATATTTCCCCCGCTGGAATTAAAAACACAAAAGGTTCCAGTAATGCATATATGGCTGACAGGTTGTAGCAGTTTAGTGGACCTTGAGACCAAAACTTTAATATTCTTTTTTCTTCTCTTAGTTTTGCATCAAAGCTGCAAAATCCTTTTTTTTTTTTTTCTAAAGCTGGATTTAAATGCAACCAATTACGTTTTCTACTTGCAAAGATTGATGCTAATTTTATCTGCAACACAGAGAGGAAAGAGTGAGCTCAGTTGTCACCCCAGTACTCAGTCTGTGTGCAGCTAATGCAGAGTTAGCTAACGTTTTAAGGTCCTGTCAGTTTTTTCTGTTGTTATCAGCCTATTAGATTTGTTGGACAGGATCTACTTATAAACAATAGCTTGATAAGACTGTAGCTAGTTTCCTTTTAGTTTATTTAGGTCTTGGTCTCAGCTCCCCTTGTATCCTCGCTTAACTTGGTCTAGGTGGCTTGAGATGGCTTTAACTCCCAACTCTAGGTCTCTAGTCTTCAAATATAAAATTCTTCATGTCTAAACAGAAAATGTACATTGTTTACCGTAATCTTCCTGTATAGGATCATGCAGTTATCATCATCAAAGGGAAGGTATCCGCAGAGTAAAGCAAACAACAGCACCCCCATACTCCACACGTCAGCCTGCAGATTTGAGATCACACAGCAGCAGGTGAGCACCAAGCATTACAGCCAGGATATCGAAGCTCAGCTGCTAAGAGTCAAAAAATGATCAGGGGAAAAATCACGGAGTGCATCTGTGGAATTCTTTTTACTTTTTTACTACTCATCTTGAAGTTAGATCTACTATACAAGTTTGGAGATGTCTCACCTCTGAACCAATGTACGCTTTACCCTGAATGAGCTCTGGAGCAGCATAGGCAGGGCTGCCACAGCACGTCATCAGTTCATAACCTAAACCGCCCTGTAATAAAACATCGACACAAAACAAAAAAAAAAAGAGGAAAAGACACAAGTAATTAAAGCTACAAACCAGGTAGAAGAGAAACAGGATGAAACAGAATTCAGTGCCTTTTTTGCAGTGAATGGTTTAGAGAATGTGGCATTATCGGTACCTTTGGTTTGGCACAGAGGCCAAAGTCTATGAGCTTCAAGTTATGGTCCTCATCAATCAACAGATTCTCCTAGATAGCAAAGGAAGACCTTAATAAACACATTTTCTTAAATAACTTATTACAGAGGTGTGCATTTGCAGTTCGTACCGGTTTGAGGTCCCTGTGTGCGTATCCTTGGCTGTGGACGTAGGCCATTGCTGATACAATTTGTCTGAAGAACACCCTGGTCTCTTGCTCCGAAAGTCGGTCCTTGGCGACGATATAATCAAACAGCTCTCCACCGGGGCAATACTGTGGCAGGCATTACCCAAAAGATAACAAGTATTTGATTTTAAATCATGGTACAGTCTCTTTGCAACGTGCAGTAACTGTTTGAGTTTAAGACCATTACCTCAAGCACCATGAAGATCTGTGTAGAGGTTTCAATAACATGGTACAGTCTGCAGATGTGTTGATGACTGAGATTCTTCATAGCTTCTATCTCCACCTTTACGCGCGGTAAATCATCCTAAAGAGAAAAGGCAGTTTTTCCTTTTGATTTTTGAAATTCTATTTGTTTAGAACAATACCACCTAGTTTTCTTTTTAACGTTATACTTAAAAAAATAAAAATATGTGCAGCAGCTATGCAGAAGTTTGTGCAAACACTTCAATCAAATAACGTGACAAACACCTTTTATTTTTTTATTCGCCGCTTCAAGGAACACAGTAATTAACAGTATACAGCATCAGGCTGTAGAATTCAGGAGAGCGTGGTAAATCAACAAAGTACAAAGTACAGTCACCAGAGACTAGTTCATTGGCCTTAAAATTGGACTGATTTGTTTCACTGATTTACTTTGACCCCAAATCAAAAAGGCTTGAGCCCAGCTAAATAAATGTGGCTGAGAGTAAGGCTGAAACAATAAACTGGATTAATCATGATTAATCGATTACTGAAATAATCATCAACTAATTTAGTAATTGATTAATCGTTAAATGGAGTTTAAAGACTCTAAAATATGCCTTTAGCTGACAGAGCAACCAACCTTTAGCAGCAATTATAGCAAAGTTGTAAAAAAAAAAAATTGCATTTAAGATTCGTCTGTCAATATGCTCTATCCAGAACTCCTCAAGTGGAAAAGTTTTAGTTTCACCTGATTTAAGTTTGGAAAAAGTCTTCTTCAAAGAACCTTTTGGCTATCCAATTATTAATTGAAAAAATAATCAACAGATTAATCAATATGCAAAATAATCGTCAGCTGCAGCCCTAGCTGAGAGAGACAAATATTACACCACCTTTAAATTCAACACAGCCCATTATATTTTGTTAAATGTCTGCAATAGGAAACAGTTTCCAGTTTAAACAACAAACATAGCTTTTAAACTAAGGGCAAAACTATAAAAGTTTCAAAAAGAGGAAGGAATGGACAGTACAGATTTAGCTTAACTTGTATTGTCCAGGCGGCCCATTTGCTAAATTCAGATACTTGCCTTACGTAGCTAAATCATTAATAATTTAGTCGAGGTGATAACAAACTGCCAATGCGAGTTAAAAGGAACGACTTACATATATAGAAAAGCCTTCTATTGATTAAATCAATCCAAGTCTAATCTCATTAAAACTACATAGTTCTGTGATAAAAGGGCCAATAGTGGATAAACTAAAGAGTGTTTTGCTTTCAGCTCCCTTAGCAAACCACAATAATCTAGTAAAAAGCTAGTAAAGCAAGATAGATTTTAGTGTTCCCCATTAACAATACAGAGAAAAAAAAATGTTCCCCTCCTGATGGATTCCCTTTGTATGTTTTTACTTATCAAATATAACTGTTTTGGCAACGTCATGTTTGCTAGAAATCTCTAAATCTCGCCCCTGATCTATAACAATTTAAGAAAATAGAAGAACATATGTGATTGACCTCTATTGGCATAGAACGTGTTATAAAGTGAAAAAACTAAAGATGAAGTGTCTAAGAGGGCTTTTTTTTGTTTCTTGGCAGAGTGGGGGGCAAAACCTCCAATAAAAATCTTATACACTCAGGGGTTCTTTTCTTAAATCAAATTTAAGACTTTTTTTTTTTTTTTTTAAAGAAAGCTCACTTATGACTACCAAGAACAATCTTTAAAAAGCCTACAGCAAGGACACATGTTGATTACATGCTATGCAGAATATGAATCTAATAGTTTCTCCAAAGAAAAGAAAATATTTAGATTTAAATACATTTTCAAAAATGTAATTGTGTATAAATATGTACGAATGCAGTTAGAATGATTTGCAAAACTAATGTCTGTAATCAGCCATGATGTGTAACCTTTCTTTGCTTGAAATTGTCTCATTTTTTGTTTTTCATCATGATTTTGAGGAAGTTCAAAATAGATGAGAACATTTCCCTTTATTGCTCTGCACATATTCTGATGTTTTAATCGATAACCATTAATTACTGTTGGATCCAATTGTGTTCTTACTTTAACGTGTTGCAAAATGCTGTCTTAATCTTGAATTATATGTTGATGTGAACATGCATATGTCGGATCTATCCGTTTCTCACCCCCAGATCTTTTTTATTCATGATCTTGATGGCCACCTTCTCTCCTGTCAGGATGTGTCGGCCCAGCTTGACTTTGGCAAAGCCACCTGGGAGATAAACAGTGTTCAGAAACCACTCACCGTGGATGAAATGACGCAGAGAAATACAACTTTAGTGGTGAACATGTTGTTACCTGAGCCGATAGTTTCATACACTTCATAATATTTGTGAAGCTCTGTGGCTCCGCGGTTCTCCGTCCTCTCCACAGGCATCCTCCTTTTCCCAGCGACAACAGCGACTCTAATCAGCCCAACAACGCCGACAAGAACCCCTTCAAAACATGTCGTTTTAGTTTAAAACCTTATTTCCATTCTCAAACAGCTAACGTTTTCACGATGCTAACTAGCGTGACAACCAACAATGGCTTATGTTTAAGTCAAACAAGGTCCGTGTAGTAAAATATAATTCAATACGGGTTATCTAATCTATTCTTCACTGCTATATGACATTACCTTCGTTTCTCAGAAGACAGAGGAAAGCATAAAGCCGAACAAGCAAACAGTAGAGAATCCCTTCCCTCTGGGATGTTTGGTTCCAGTTTGAATTTCGCTCGTAACGTCTACGACATTTCCTGCTTCCGGTTCGCTGCCCTCTTGTGGTGAGGTGTGGTACTGCTATCAAATAATAAGACCTTTTGGGGTATTTTGTGATGCAATTTAAATGTAGTAAAACATGTTTTAAAGTAATACTACAAAAGAGGATAAGGACGACTGAAAAAAAAAGTTATCTGATTTTTTTTTATTTTATATCAGTATGAGAAAAAAGTCAGAATTCAGACTTTAATCTCTGAATTCTGACAGTTAACAAACATGTTATCAAGTAGTAGATTTGTCTAGAGACTAAACAAGCTCTCTTGTTTTAACTGCCTTCTGCTCTTCCATTCATAAAATATCGGGGACCCCTCAACCACATAAAAATTCACCTAATTCCGTCATTTAACACCAGTGTCATTTTCCACCAATGTGTTACTGGCCCTCTCAAACCACTCACATCTTTGTCAGTGCTCCCACATCTCTTCCTTTATGGTGCCCATCTACATTAAG